AGCATTTTTCCAAATCATAGGAGTTTGATGATGTTGATAATGATTTGGACAAAGGTACTTCTGCAGAGTCGCTCGCCGTTTTAAGCTCAGTTCTCACAGCTGCGCAGGATTCCATAGTCTGCTCTGTACATTGGGTCTGACCGTCAAATAAATGGTCCTCCGCGTAGCTAACTCAATTATTTATATAACGGTATTATAATATGTATATATTTATTGTTATATATTTTTTAGGCTTGACTATGTACAATTATTATTCAGCAAAACATCAATTTAATATGTCTATTAAATTGATTTAACTTGAAGTTGTTCTATCTTTGCATTTACAGAAAAATTATTTATGTTGTAATAATGCTTTCGATTTTTAAACTCAAGAATTTAAATAATCGCTGATTTTCTATTTATGCTATTATCATTGTCTTTTAAAGGTTTATGAAAAAATTCTGTTACTTGAAGGTAGTTTTTTTTTTCGACTGAATTGTATGAAAAGGATTTTAATCCACATTTTTTGTGCTTTTCCATGAATTTATAAATGTAATAAACAAAAACATGAATATAAGGTGTAAGGTCATTAGATTGATATAAACCTTGAATAATATTATTTGGTGTTCTGGTAGATGGCATGAGAAATAATTTTACCCAATTTTTTACATCTTCTTTAAACTTTTTTAGATCTGTTGTAGAATTACGCATAGCAATATATAAATTATAAAATTCATCCCATAATGTTCTAATTATTTTTGCAAGTGCTAGTGGCAATATCTTAGTAAAATCAAAAAACTGATGTACTTTCATTTTGTCTTCACCCATAAGTGATGTATAATTCTAAATCTGTGATTTTTTCTCTTACCAAAACTAGAATTGTACTTTAATTTTATTCATTTCCTTAATTATAATTTCTCGAGCAATATCATTAAAAAAGCTATTTTCTTTAATTTTATGCAAAACTAAAGTTCAAAGTTAGTCTGTTATATGCAACATTAAATGTAGCTCGTCTGGGATCCAATGATCTAATAAAATCATATCAAATAGTAGAGAAAATTTATGCTTGTTATATATATTAAAGTTTTGTTTTAACTGATTCATTTTCTTTGAAATTGTCAATTCTTGGTTATAATCTGCAATTTGTTTTTTAGAAATTGTACACCACAGACAGAAATAATGACTATTTATTGCATTAAATCCTAGACTAATAGCAAGTAATTTCTAGTCCAAGCTAAAATACATATTAAAATGCTAATGAATTTTATTAATGATTAATCCATCTTCAGTTAATTCATATAGTTCATTTCGAAGCAAAGTTGTTACAACATCTAAAGATTTATAATCCTCATATCCAGAATATAATACAACTATATAATGATAATCAAGATTATATATATTATTAATGTCATCTAAAATTGCAAAAGTAATCATAACATGATTTACTTTTTTGCCCACATTCCTTCCATCTCCTGAGATTCTTAAATTAATAACTGGCTGTTAAGGATTAAGAATTTCTTTTCTAACTAAATCTGAAACTATATAATTTAATATATTCTTTATACTTCTTTAAACACCTTTACCAATTGAACTAATTATATTATTAACTATTTCTGAATTACTAATATAAAGATTTTTATTTTGATCTATTTTATTAATAAATGATGACATTCTAATTGTTTAATTCTAACTTTATTATCTATTTCCTTATTAATTTGTGTTCTATGTTCAGCAATCATCTATTTACGTAGCAATTCATTTTCAATATTTGACAGATTTCTATATGCATGTCATACAATTTGCTTCTGATCGATTACTTTTACAATTGCTTCACTTTTTTGTTTTTTGGCTATTAAATTTTCATCTTTGTATTCTTTATGATGATTTATAGAAAATTTAAATTCTTCTAAAATAGGCTTATCCATATGATTATAATATTGTTGAGATATGTCTGTAAAATTATTAGACAAAGCTTTGCCAATATTTCTAGCTCTTTTTTTCAAAATAGAATTAGAAACCTCATTTACTAATTTTAAATGTTTTTCAAATTGTTTTTTACGATTTTTCTATAAACATTCTAATTGAAAACTGAATAAAAGTACACCTGATATTTGGGTTTTTGTTTCTAGCTTAATTTGCTAATATATATATATTAATAAATAATTAAGAAGTTAACTTATAAATTAAAAAAATGTATATTTATAATTACAAATATACCAATAATAACTCTTTCCAACGATCACTTGGTCAACAACAATTTACCGAACTACAGTCAGCGATATAGGAAAGCAACATAGTGGATACAGCAATAT